TCTCATAGACAATCTCATGGACAGTCTCATAGACAGTCTCATGGATAGTCTCATGCACAGTCTCATGCACAGTCTCATGGACAGTCTCATGGACAGTCTCAGTCTCATGTACAATCTCACGGACAGTCTCAGTCTCATGTACAATCTCATGCACAGTCTCATAGACAGTCTCATGCACAGTTCCATTGATAGTCTCATACACAGTCTCATGGACAGGGACATGAACTCCCTTCTAATGACCTCTGCTTTGATTAAAAATAAAAATATTAATTAAAGAATGACTGGGTTGCCTCTTATGAAAGTTAAATAAGGAGGTTTTTAAAAAAATGGTCTCAGGTCCAGGAATAGTTAGGGTGCATCATTCATGAGGATGTAGCTTAAAGACAGAGATCTGGGGTTAAAAACAGATGTTTACCACTTCTTCATAAGCAAATTAGCACAAAGTCACAAAACTCAATATGAGAAAAGAAAAATGACCAGAACACAAAACGTTGAAAAAAAAAAACCTTCAGTAATGACATAAAAACTACTAAGAAACAAAATAAAACAAAATAAATGTTAAACATCTACAAAGCGAAACATAAGTTTTTTAATAAAAAAGAGAAACAAAAAGTTTTTTTTAAAAAAAAGGAACTTAAAACAAATCAAATAATAAAACTGAACTTGTCATTTATTATAAATAAAATCCCTTTAAAATGTTACTTTCACCCTGTATTATTAAAGTAAATATGTTTTATCCTGTGACCAGTTTCAGGGCCACCAGAGGAGCAGTATTTCAAATTAATTTGATCTAATTATTAACAGAAATGTTGTATTTTTATAGAACACAATTAGAACAGAATTAAACTAAACTAAAAAAAAACCTCAACACAAATCATTCATGCTGTAGGCTCTGCAGTTTTAAGGGATATAAACTCTACCTCTAATTTTATTTTTTAATTCAAAATAAGGCTTTTATTTTTAAATTTAAAAATTGTTCGCTCGTTGTTAATATAGCAAAGTTTAGCTGAGG